AATCAATATTTTCTCAACTCAACAATCTCTTAAATAAATTGTTCTTACAAGTTTGCTTTTTATTTGTTTTGTGTCTCTTGTTTTTTCAATTCCCTGTGGTTCGACCTCGGACTCTCGAGAAATTTATTACTTCGCACAACCTGCACTTGGGTGATCAATTCTAAAGTTGTAGCAAGTTTTTGGCGCCGTTGCTAAGGGTTGTTTGAAGGCAAGGAACACACCGCCATCTATTGAGGTTTGCCAGATTTGAGATTCGTCACAGATCCGGTAATCTCGTTCCTTTTTATTTTATTTTATTATTATTATTTTATTTATTTGTTTTATTTTTCCGTAGGTTAGATATTTCATAATTTTTATTTATTTTTTTTTATATTTTTTAATGTGGTGTGAAGATTTTTTCCGATGGAAGAACTGTGTGAGCTTTGTGATGTGTATGGGCATCCCATTGAGGTTTGCCCTTTAATTCCAACTGCTCAAAAATTTTTGAGAGACGGGACAATTGTCTTACCTAATTCTTTTCAACCTTACTCCGACCATTGTTCTGAAAATTTTTATCCCAATTTTGGTTGGGGAATGAACATTATCAGTTACCTATATATGCCACATCACCACATGACCCTCCTCAATATCCACCTTACCATGACCCACAAGAAAAGAATTTGGAAGACATTTTTTGTGAATTTATGCAAAGTCAACTAGCTTTCAAAGACATTTTTTGTGAATTTATGCAAAACGAACTAGCTTTCAATGAAAGCCAACAAGTTTTCAATGAAAGCCAACAAGCTTTCAATCCAAATAAGCCAAGATATTGAAGAGACAAAAGATATGCTCAATACATTAAAACAAGAACAAGAGGTTGACAATAGTCAATATAGTGAGAGTGATTCTTTTCCTGAACTACAAATTGAGGATGAATCTATTAATACTCTTGATAGTGAAGAATTAAGTGACATTATTATTCCACAAGAGGCTAATGAGCCCAAAGACCTTTTATTATCAACAAGTAGTAATGAGATTCATATATCTAATCTTGGTGAGGGTATGAAAGTTGAGTTGTGTGTTGTAATTGATAAAAATCTATTTGCTATCTCATTTTTAGATTTGCATAAAAATGTATATATCTCCATTTTTCTTGCATGTTCAAAAGATATATTGGGTATATGAGTGGATAGGTCGATTAAATGAGTTACTTCGACACCATATTTTTAAGCCAATAAAATTGAATGGACGTATATTTAAATCTGATTTTAAGCCGAATTAAGTGTGACATTTTATTTTTATTTGTACATAGTAGTTAGATTTTATTTTATTTTTTTGTTTAATTTTAGTTTTCTTTCTGTATGTTTTAATTTATAGTTTTCTTTGTTTGTTGAGTTTTTATTTTTAGGTTTTAGAGTTATTGTAGCACCAGGTATTCCTATCGCTTTGATCTTTATTTATTATTTTTATTGAGCATTAATGTATTTATTTTTACATTGAGGATAATGTTGGATTTAGGTTGGGGGTATAGGTATGTTTTGTGTTGTGAAAATTCCTAGTTTAAGTTTTTTTTTAAGTTTATTTACTTTGCTAAAAAAAAAATTGTTGTTTATTAAATATTTAGACAATACTTTTATGCATAAATTGACACCACAATATAAAAATAATTTGCGTAACTTTAAATTTGCAGCAGTTTAAGTATCACATAGAATTTTATTCTATATTTTTGTATCTCATATCATGTTCTTATAAAAACTCACAATTTGTGCACTTTAGACTTTACCAAGTTAAAAATTTGTTAGGTATTTTACCTTGAGAACTTGAAATATATAGTAGAGGTGCATAAAAACCCTGATGAGTTTTGATTTAATCTTTTTTGGAGGGTTATTTACATTTACTCAATAAATAATATTTTTATTCTGCTAATCTCCTTCAATAGTCTCATTATTTTTGTTTTGGTCAACACCAATATTATGAATGATTTCTTGACTTTAAATTATTTGCATGGGGAGTGTGTTATCAAAAGCTCTTGAAATATGATTTTAGGCCATCTTTGATATTATTTGAGTTTAAGCCTTATTTTTTGAATACTATTATCCCTAGAAGCCATGATTGAGCTTTGAAATAAAATTTTATTTTATTTTTTATTACCCAACATATAATAACCAAGTCAATGAAAAAAATAATATCCTTTACCGTTGGTTATCCCGAAATTGAGCTTTTTATTGTTTATGTAATTTGGGAGATGTTGGTTGAGAAAAGATGATAAAAAAAGAGAGTTCTGCATAATTGTGAATATATACATTCAATTGTCTTGCTGAAAAAAAAAAGTGGAGAAGAAAAAGAAAGACATTATGTCTAGCTGTGAAAAAGCAAATTAAAAAAAAGAGAGAAAAATAGCAAGCATGAGTTGAAAAAATATGAGCAAGTGTTGTAAATTGTGCTTCTAAAGGGTGAAGAGTGAAAGACCATAGACAGAAGATTGGTTGTGTAATGTACATGTTCTCTCGGGATAGTCTTTTGAATTCTGAATATCCTTCGTTTCAAAGCCCTAATTCCAAGGCCCCATTACAACCTTAAATAAAGTCATATATGATCTCAAGAGTGTATTGATGGATACATGACTCGTGCGAATATGGAAGATAATGATAATTATTTATATATTATGTGTTGATTTCCTTTCATGAGACTATGTGTCCTTTTCTTTTGGATTACGTTTTTTTTTTGGACACGTGAGCATTATTTTGTTTTGATTTAAATATCTTCTTCTCACATGCGATATTTGAGTAAATAGTCACTATAATCTAAGAGAATTTTTTATGAGTGAATTATCTAGTGAGATTTGACATTGAGACGAATAGTTGATAGTTGTAAAGGTGATTATCGGATAAATTACTAACTTGGTATAGTTAATTCACACTACACACGATTTTATATGGGAACATGATAAGTGTATACATTTATATAGCGTAGAATTCTATATTTTGCTTTGCATGTGCTTATAAAAAGGTTTGTAACTCAGAATTTTTATATTGTGGTAGCAGTTTGTGTTATAAAATTATCATTCAGATATTTGATCATAGGGTGATGTTTGTGGGTATCATCTCTAAAAACCCTCACGAGACTATACTCGTCCACTAGGGAGAACCTAGGGTTTTAAAGGCTTGTTGCATATGCTAAATGCAATCGTGAGGCCTACGAAAGTGGATTTATGTTTTATTTTATTAGATTATTTAATTTTTAAGTTTTAGTTTTTAGATTTTAGGATCTAGGTATTACTAGAGACTAGTAATATTCAGGTTGGGGTGTGTGATTAACCATCAAAATAACTATTTTATTATATTTAATGATTGATTAATTGCATATTATTTGTGATTAAGTGTGTTGAATTCCTTGATTTTTTAGTTTGATACTTTTTCTAGTTGTTTGGTTTATTTTGCAAGTAAATTGGTTGATTTAAAGTAATAATGGATAATACAAGTGAAACAATCACTAGAGGAAGAATCACAACTAATAAGGATTGAAGAGTCAAGATTGAAGAGAAAGACTTGAAGATATGATAGCAATTTAATCCTTATAAGAGTCCAAGATGGAAGAAAACTCATTTAAAGTTGGATTAGGAAAGTATCCTAGAAGAATAAGGATTTGACACGTCTTCAGTATTCTGGTCATAACTTTTGACTCTGATATCCGATTTACTTGATCTTTGGGGCTGGAAAGAAGACTCCAAGGGCTACAAAAGTGTATTTAACGAAAATTTCGTGAATCAACCTCTAAATATGTGAAATTGAAGCTCGAAGTCTGGACAGATTTTGTACCCGTGCCCCAAAGATTTTATTCACGGAATTTAACCTTACAAGATTTCTTTTTGGAAAGGAATTCCTGCCAAGACAACCTTATATCTTCTACTTATACTTAGGATTTATTTTTAGTATATATAAGGGTTCTTATCTAGGATTTATGGGATGATTCTTTTCCCATATTTTCTTTTCTAGTTTTAGTTTGTCATGTCTGGCTAGAAGGCTAAGCTAGGGCTAGGGGAGAACCTCTCAATGAAGTACGGTAATGTTATTGATTATGAGTTTAATGATTTATGATATTTTGTTAATTTAACTTTTGATCTTATAGCAAAATTTTTACTCTGTAAAAATCCTTGAGTTGTTGTGTCATGTACATCAATTGCTTGAATTTTTCTGTGAGTAAATAACTGGTTATTCCATGTTTGAGGTAATTATAATTATTTCATAAAATAATATAATTGGATGATTATTCAGGTTCCTAAATAATTTTTTGATTATAACTTTAGGTTTTCTTTCTTGATTTGTCACATGAATCAATGGACATCTGATTCTTGTCTCAAGTTAAGATTTGAGTCTTTAATCATTATTGTACGGAATTGAGAGGGAGTACCTGATGCTTTAGTATTTTTATTATATTGTTTTAATTACTCCAATCAATATTTTCTCAACTCAACAATCTCTTAAATAAATTGTTTTTATAAGTTTTCTTTTTATTTGTTTTGTGTCTCTTGTTTTTCCAATTCCCTGTGGTTCGACCTCGGAGTCCCGAGAATTTTGTTACTCCGCACAACCTACACTTGGGTGATCAATTCTAAAGTTGTAGCAATATCCTCATAAATAACAATCTCGCCTGAGGAGTCACAACATGCTGGCTCGTCCTCCTCTGCACGGCTAGACATTACAACAAGAGGGATACGATACGAAGATACAATATGAGCAATGTTCTCATCGCAGCCAATGGAGCTGAATACGGAAGTCACATTCAAGCCATTATTTCTAGTAGTCCCCTTGCCTTGCTCGATGTCTCGAGTACCCTCCCCCATAATGCACTTGTCAGAGTGGGTGCCTGGCAACAAACAAAACCAAAACGTAATCAAAGTCAATGTGAAGGAAATATTAGTTCTTGTTGGACTCTTGTGGAGTCTAGTTGTGTTTGAATCCAGCTACGTCATGTTGCCCCCCTAACGTAAACGATTTTCTAAATCGCATACTAGGGGTATGTCATGAAAACTGTAAAGAAAAGTTCAGAATGTATGCCACAAAGTTCAGAAGAACACCTGCTCTCTCCTCGATTTTGATCTTGTCAAACATGCCTAGGGTGTCGCCTCTCCTTGCGCCCACGTGCCCCCCGAGGTCGCTAAGCCTGGATTGGACATCATCCCTCTTGTTGCACCGAAGCTCATCCGCACCCTGGCTAGCGTCGCCTAGCACGATGGCGCTGCCTAGCCCAGCGTCTCCTACATCTCTGCCGTCGTCTCTACTACCGCAGCCTGGCACGACACTGGCGTAGCTTGGCAAGGTGTCGCCCCTCTCTTCTTTGGAACCCTCCTTGGAGCTGGGCTCCCCCATCGATGCCTAGTGTGCCGCCCACATTACCCAGGGTGTCGTTTGTGCCCCTCAAGGCGTTGCCTCTCTCCTTCAACATCTCACCCATCGCAAGGCTAGCGCCACACAAGCCTCTGACGTCGCCCATGCCAGAATGGCAGCCACCAGCAATCCCCACTACTCCATTGTTTCTAAGCCGTGATTTACCTCCCTTTTCCTTCGATGAGACCTCCCATGTGGAATTGCTAGGGGCACCCTTCTTCCTCCTCTCCATTGTCTCCATGCTCATCTCCTTCAAATTGCCCAATGATTTGTGAAGTGAGAAAGGGGAAAGTAAGCCCTAGTTCTATAGAGGGATACGAGGGGTTTGACAGGAAATGTCCTTTAAAGCTAAAAGGAAAATACATGCGTTAAACAGAAGACCTTGCTATCAAGTTCACCAAGTTGTCGGAGTATCACTGTCGGCACGATGACTTTCCAACCACGGTGATTATCAAACTGAAAGAACAAGCTCTCAGGGTGCAAATGGAACAGGAGGTTGAAGAAGCTACCACAGTGCGTATATAGTATTATCTTAACTATTATGTACAACTGAAAATGTTTCCATTCACTGGGTTGAATAATTTTGTTTCCATTCATTGGGTTTGCTAAGAGAGATAGTATTATCTTCACTATTATGTATTATTGAAAATGTAGTGCAATAAGTATGGCATAGAAGTTTCACCAATTTCACGCCAATTTCATATTATACAACGTATATAGTTGTGGGGTCTACAAAATTGTTTGACATCATGTTTGTAGGAGTAAAGAATGTTGATGCACAAAAGTAGATTTATGTATCACCTGTTGAGTAATTAATGTAGGTTGACAAGCCCAGATCTAATTGAGCCAGACCTGGTAAATCAAGCAAGCCTAGATCCACTAGAAAGGCAGGCAGAGCCCGGTTCATCAATCCGATCCAGTCCAAGATTCAAGGAGTCCAAGAAGATAAGAGCACGTGGGAGAGATCATCGGGATACCTACTCTCAAAGATCTAGGCAATTTTAATTATACTTGCCTATTGTAGATGTCCTCCCCGAAGGACTAGTGCCTTTATCTGCACGTCACTGCCTCAACTAAGGGTCCACACCTATAAATTGTGAGACTTCTCTACATAGGAGAGGCAGCTCTTCACACATCTCTACACCCCTCTACACACCCCCACTAATAATTTTTCTCTCTCCTAGCTATTGTATCCCTCCCGGGACTAACCATTGCTCTATCTCTCTCTCTCCTTCACCTTACTTAATCAATAAAAGGTCCCCGACCACCATTGCCATTTTTTGTAGTGGAGTAGGTCACCCAGACCAAACATTTATATATTTGTGTGTTGACCCGATATTTATATTATTGTCATTGATTACTCGATTAATTGTCTCATTAATTCTTGACATCATTCACTCAACTGTTGATCTTGGATAAGTCTATTTTGTGCATCATCATATGTAATAAATGCAGTAAATATAAGTGAGATCAACACAGTCAACACACAGATGTATAGTGGTTCGGTTAGGGTAAGCTACTCCACTTTGAAGACAACAATGGTGATCGGTGGTCTTTATTGATGAAGTAGTAGGTGAGAGAGAGCAAGGGCATGCTCTTGGTAGATATGAGAGAGATAGTTGTGTAAGATGTATAGAGAGATGCCCCTCTCATATGGAAAGGGCTTATAATTTATAGGCACAAATCCTTGATTGAGGCAGTGGCGTAACTAGCTTTTTGGGGAGGATAGCTACAAGCAGAGATAGTCTTGATCTTAGAGAGTGACTATCCTGATGATTGCTCTCTACATGCGCTAATTTTCTTAGATCCCTTGGGATTTGAACTGGGCTAAATTCACGAACTGGGCTTGATCTGCATTGTAGCTAATTTGGACTTAATTAATTGTGCCTAACCCAGTAAAATTTGGGCTCATCAAAGAATGTGATTCCAAGTGAGGTATCAGTTACACTTGGCAATGAAGCTAAAGGACTAACATAAGTGACGATATTGTTATATCTCATAAAGATAAACACATGTTGCAGGTGTACATGGTTTTCTAAGCAATGTTATTTTTTAAAGATATTCACATCAATGCGAATTGTCATTGCGTTTTGAAATTGTGTATTTTTCCTCTAAAAATGCTAAAATTATAATTCTCTACATTCTTATCTTATGACCATCTATTTTTAATAAAATTTTATATAATTTTTACAATAACAATATAAACTATTTGATGCTTAAAATGGTTCACGTGCAATGCACATTTGTACTAACTAGTACACCAAAATGCGTACACATATAAATATACCAAATCATACACACTAATACACTAAAATATAAGCACACAACCCTCACACATGTTTGTGTGTGTGCATTTTGGCGTGACAGTATGTGTATGCGTTTTGGTGTATTAGTATATGTGGATGTGTGTTAGTGTGTGGGGTGTGTTTTTTTGTATATTAATGTGTGGGGTGTGTATATGTGTGTTTTTATATATTAGAGTGTGTGTGTGTGCGTGTCTTTGGTGTATTGTTGTGTGTGTGCGTTTTGGTATACTAGTGTGGGTGTTGTGGTATATTTTTGCGTATTTGTATGTTTTGGCGTATTAGTTTGTGTGTTTTGGTATATTAGTGAGTGTGTGTATTTTAGTGTATTAGTATGTGTGGGGTATATGTGTGTGTGTGTGTATTTTTTTTGTGCATTAGTTTGTGTGTGCAAATATTTTATTTTCCAAAATACTTTTAAAAAGATATTTATCAAGCATATATATATTTAACTTTTTGCTTCTAAAAAGTATTTTGAGAAAGCGTTACCAAATGGAAGCCAAGCATTTTATTTTTTCTTAAACACGTTAACACAATGTTGTTCTCATTTTTACATCTACCAGTTGTGTCGCCCCCAACATGGCTGCCATTGCCATTGCCATTGCCATCATCACTATCACTGTTGCCTCCATCTCCATTATTGTCACCACTATAAGTATATATATGTGTGTGTGTGTGGCGGTAAGTATTTTTTGTGAACCTTTAAACAACATTTATGCAAAAAAAATGCTTTTCTTATACTATATTTTTGTTAAAAAATTATTTAAAAATTACTTCTTGAATTTTACGAGTCAACTTAAGTGCCACTTTGGAAGCTTCATGCGCTACAATTTTTAACATGTTTGCTCGTTTCATTTATTTTTTCCATTGCACAATAAGTAGGATCTACAGAGATTACCAAGATCAAATAAACCAAATTAATCTCAAGAAAAACTTTCATTTAGAATTATAAGGCCATATTGCCAAAAAAAAAAAATATAAACACTGCATACCAAGTACTTTACTGATGGCTACTCAACAAAAGAATTCAAATCTGTCTTTATTACATTTTTGGAGACGACACTTCTGTAGTAAAAGCCCTTGGAGATGAGCGCCTTACGTGTGGAACGACCCTATACCTTAGTACCTTCTTCGTCCAAACATACGAGTCTGCTATTGCTTTGTATAAATTAGTGACAAATGGGCGGGTTTTGGGCCAGTTCATAACGGCTTAGGCACAATAGAGGTTCAATTCATTTCAATCCGCAGCATAAATTAGTCCCCTTTTTGTTTGATCTTGTGGCACACTATCTTCTTAAACTTCAGAGATCTACAGAGTCTCCTACGGTTCTATACTAAACTATAGCACTTAGTACTACTGACAAAATTAACGGCCAAAAGGTCAAAAAGCAATATTCTTAAAAAAACAGCATGCCAATCTCTAAAATAGATTAATCTCTTCTCTCTCTCTCTCTGTCTCTCTTTTCCATCTAAATGAAATTAAACAATTTTTCAATTTGAATAAACAATTTTTGGAAGGAGGGACGGAGCCAAAAATTTCTTTTAAGGTGGGTGGGTTTTTATTTTTTTTAATAGACCGTAAAGTTCTTAAATTTATATTTATTAAAATTATATTTAATACTTTTTAAACATAGAAGATTAAAAATTGATATAATCATAAATAAAAAAAATAATAATTTAAACTTTTTATCAAGAATACGACCAATTATTATTACTTACAAATGACTGTGATATGTTTTTATTATTTTTAAAAGTTACAAATTAATTTTATCAACAATATTTATTTTATATATAAAATCGCGGTAACAATATTTCATTTATGATCTTATAGTTTACTACTTAACTACACACATTTTTATACAATAATGAAATAACCCTACAATATAAAAACTTATAAAATAACATTAATATGTTTGAAACATATTCGGATATATCTAAAACATGTTTAAAAGTTAACAATTATATTAGTTGTATATAATTTGAGATTTAATTGATAGAAACTCAATGGTTTGTGACAATTGAATAGATAGTAGAGTTTATTAAATAATAAGATTCACTATTATACTTAATATTACAATGTATTAGGTCTTTAAATTACGTTTCAATAACTTTGTTCAAAAAGTTAATAATCATTTAGGTAGAGGTCTATTCAAATCAATATTACCAAAACACAATATTAAAGTGGGCATAATTAAATCTATATAATAAATAGTTTACAATTCAAATTTCAAAAATAAACAAAATGACTTTTGCTATTTGCGGTTGAGATCACTTTAAATTTTACTTTAAAGTTAATCTAACAGCTAATATTAAAACTCCAAATTTAATAACAAAAAATAGGCCCTTAAGGGTATGTTTGAAGTAATTTTTTAAAAGTGTTTCTAAGAATTATGTCTCATAAGTACTTTAAAAAAAGAAAAAATTGTTTTGAACCGCTTCACCACTACCTCTACCACCACCACTGCCAGCACCATCGCCACCGCCAGCACCACCACCACTACCGCCACGCCCCACCATCACCACCACCACTGTCACCTCCACCTTTACCTCCACCGTCGCCACCCCCACCACCGCCACCACCACCATCGTCATCGCCGCCATCACCATCACCCCCCTCCACCACCGCCATTACCGGAACCCCCCACTGCCGCTACCACCACCGTCATCGTCACCGCCACCACCACCATCACTGTCACCACCACCTCCACTGTAGCCGCCACCCCCACCTTCGCCACTACCTCCTCCACCACTACTACCACCACCGTCGTCGCAACTACCACCACCACCACCACCACCATCATTGTCGTCGCCGCCGCCACTACCACCACCAACATTGCCACCACAACTATTATTGTCTTCTACCACCACAATTACTGTCCACTATTTCTCACGCCCACTACAAATCGATGTTTAAATTCCTTTATATCTTCTTTATGTTTGCGAT